TGCTTAACCCAAGCAGAGCTTCTTCCTTCCCCCCCATCCCCCGGTAGGATTTGGACATCTTATGGCTTGTGATCCCCAAGAACTGACACACCTTGTTCCTTGGTTTCTTTTCCTCTTCTGACTTAGGCCTGATTCACCTCCACTGTCTACCTAGAACTTATCATCTCTGCTTTACAAGCAAAGATTCAGAGTGTGGTGCACCCCCCCAAAACAAGGGGACAGACGTCATAACCTCCGACCCTTGTTTTGAAAGGTTCTTGTTCTTGGCTTTCATCATGGAAGAATCAAGGGCTCCAAAAGAGAAGCCAGACATGGTAAGGGGACAAGGGAACTTAGGGATAGACAGTCTTTATGCTAGATTCATGCATTGGACCAAGGAGGGGGTGAGGCTCTGCCCAGCTATGCATCAGGAACCAGGAACTGCTACCCCTCCCTGTGAGTCAGCACTGAGATCTCAAAGGCCAACTACACAGGGAAGCAGAAGACCACGGGTTTCTGATGGGCAGGCCAGCGACTGAGCTGGCATTTACCCTTGTACAAGGCCAGTGCTACCAGTCCCTTCCCAGACACATGCCCTTCTTTCAGCAAAACCTCATCTTTTATGTCCTCAGCCCCTAGCCAGTCCACCTATCCTGGTGGCTTTATTCAATTCTCTTGTTCTTAGGGAACAGGACCCTTTGTACAGGTCCTGCCATACTGTAGGGGTGGGTGATAGACATTTGCCTATTACCTATGCTTCTGTATCTCTGTCCTTTTCTGTGGAGTGCAGGTGACAACAGTTGCCCCCAGGGTGCTCCAGGCTGGGAGTATGGCTCACTACTTAGGGACCTTGTAGGGAACATGGCCAAATAGCTGCACCCACTGTCACCGTGACAGAGGTCCAAGAAACAGGCGACTTCCATCTCCTTGGTTTCTCAGCTCACCTCCTGCCCTCTGGCAGATGGGGAAGTCGCCTCAGCAAGCTTGACACTGCCATTTCCTGAATCTAAGGGAAATGGCTTGCTCAAGGCCACACAGGTCTGTGCCCAGGCAGGGCCCTACGTTACTTCCTGTTCCAGATCTCTGTGCTATTGTGGCCCCCAAAAGGCCTAGAGTCCTAAGGCAGATAGTTCTGTGTGTGCATGTGTGTGTGTGCGTTTGCATGTGTGTGTGTGTGTGTGTGTGTGTGTGTGTGTGTGTGTGTGTTGGGGGTAGGTGCCATGACAAGGCTAACCTATGCCCAAAAGTCAAAGGAAAGGCTCCCAAGTTGCCAATGGCCGTGACCAAGAGTCCTCGGGCAGCTCTGGTGCTGCTTTCGTCCCCAGGGTATTGTCCTAGGAGGCTGCCAGCTACCAAGCTAGGCTGCTAACTCATTGATCAGTAAGTGTCCACCAAGCCAGCCTGTGTTCTGGCATCCCAGAGTTCTGGCTCAACTCTAGCCTTTCAGCCTTGCTACCCTGTAGCTACCAAAGTTTCTTCCCTTCTCTCCTGGCGATTCGCAGGGCCGTGTGACCTCCGGCTTCCTGGAGACTATGCACTAGCTCTGGCTTGAGGGAATAACCTAGCTAGAACCTGGTTCTCTTTGTTATGGTGATTCCACTTGTATTCAAGGTCTTAGCAGTGGGCCAATAGCCTGCCTCCCCTAGCTGACCCTGCCCGAGGGGCCGGGAAGCTTTAATCTTCCCATCCTGCTCCTGGATGGGAGGAGGCCTTGCATTTTCAATTCTTCTAGCCCACTGGTATAAATATCTGACTTGAGTTTAATAAAGTGGCCATTTACTCTTGTAGATGAGCCAAGGTTTCTTTTGTGTGTGTGTCTCTTTTTTCAACCCTCAGGACAATCGTCCCTTCTCGTGGGCCCGAGTTCAGGAAGCGCGCAGCCTGGGTCGGGCGTGGGTATCCATCGATGCCAGGTGGTCTGAGAGGGCAGCTGACTTCTGCCATACCTGGACAGGGGCTTGAGCTGTGCACAGGAGCACAGGCAGGGTGCAATTGCCCCGCGCACTATGACACAAGGCAGTATTCCTTAGCCTAAGATAACTCTGCATCTGCAGAACAGCCACTGGAGCCCAGCACAGGCCGAGTCAAAACAGTCTCTATTGTGATACATGCTAGCTCCCTAAAACACAGGCATTGGACACCTGTGCCTCAGAGGTAGCTTTGCTTGGAAACAAGATCCCTGAAGATGCAATTGGTTAGGATGAGGTTACTCTGTACCAAGTACATCCTGATCCAATGTGACTGCCATCCTAAGCAGTCAGTGAAGAGAGTCATAGTATAGAAAGTCACATGACCACTGCTGCACCTGCAGTCAGGATGTCAAGGATGGCTGCCACCTGTAGCAGCTAAAAGACCCAAGGAGGATCTTCCCTTTGAGTCTCTGGTGTGGATGTGTCCCTGACGGCACCCTGGTTTCTCCACAATGGTGAGAGGAAAGTTTAGTATCATTTGCTGGGCAGCAGTGGCACACACCTTTAATCCCGGCACTTGGGAGACAGCGGCAGGTGGATCTCGGTGAGTTTGAGGCCAGTCTGGTCTACAAAGTGAGTTCTAAGACCGCCAGAGCTGTTACACAGAGAAATCTTGTCTCAAAAAACAACAACAAAAAGTTTAGTGTCTTTTCATACATCTATCAGTCTGTCTTTCACCCATGAGCCCCACCTGCATTGTCCTCCAAGGGAGTTGGGTAAATGTCATATCCTTAGCCATCTCCTGGATAGTGATGCTAAAAAGGGTTTGATAGGGGGGAAATGGTATGTGAGGTGCAAGAGGGCTCAGGGGACAGCCTTCTTCAGTCTGGAGGTGTCAAGGGCTCCAGCACATCCTCTGCCTTGAAGAAAACACTGAAGGACTGGGATGTGGCCATCTGGGAGACAGCAGGGTGTGACAATATGAGCCAGGACCCTCACGTGGTGTTGAAAGGAATCTCGGGGTGCAAGGAGTATCTAGTGGGGCAGAATTGTTGAAGGGGATACAGCCTTAGTCTGAGCCATTGGGGGAGTTATCATCCAGGGCACCCCAGTTTAGTGTGAAGGTTGTGGGTCATTACCACAACTTCTGGACCTGAATGGCACCCCTGCTTCTGTTCTTAGGTACCAGGGCATGTGGCTCAGCTGCAAGAATGACCACAGTCACTATAACGTCTAGCTTACCCAGTCACTGTTCCGAGCACATTTCCTGTGATGTGGTGTTTTCGCTCTGACTGCCAGAACCATATGCCAAGGATTGGGGCCTCACAGACACTCCTTTCTCTCATTTCTGGAGAGGAAAGTCTGAGGTCGGAAGCCAGTAGGGCTGGTTTCTTCTGGTCTCTCTTCTCAGTCTGCAGATGGCCCCTTCTTCCTATGTCCTCACTTGGCCTTTGAGTGAGCTCCTTGCATCTCTTTCTCTTCTTATAAGGGATGCCTGTCCTATGGGATGGGGGTTCCACCCTGATGACCTCATTTTTTGGTAATTATCTCCTTAAAGCCCTAACTTCCAAATGCAGCCACTTTGGGGAATAGAAATTTAAAATATGGATTCTGGGGAACCCACTTCCATCCATAACATGCAGGCTTTTGCAGACCCTCATTCCACAGATAAGGGAACCAAGGTCGGAGGACTCAAGTGCTACATGTTCTGGCTTCCCTGTGGGTAGTCTAGCCCTACTTTGAGCACCTAGCTTAGGCTGGATCCTCCCAGCCTTCTCTAGACATTTGCATGTATGTGAGGACCCGGTTCCCCCATCACCTTGGGAAGCTTCCAGGAATATGACTGGGTGAGGCAGAGACAAGGGTGTGAGCATCTTTGTGGATACATCTGGCTTGGGGTTGACTCTTGGGCCCCTTAGCTAAGGTAGGGGCTCTGCATTAGATAGCAAAGAACTGACAGCTGGGCCTGCGTCACATTCTCATAGAACAAAAGGCCCTTAGGGATCCAGGAGATCCAGATGTGACTGAGAAGACAGCAGCAGAAGGACTAAGGGTAGACAAGCTGTCTGGGTGAGGGGTCAGGTCAAGCACCAAGCGTTTGCAGTCAGAAAGTGGGAACAACAAATACAAGGCAAAGACTGACCAGGGTGGAGGGAGACTACAGAATGAAGGGCAGAGAAGCACGAATGATATTAGATCTCTGGATGCTGCCCTCCTGGAGCAGGGGATTCCCAAACACTCCCCATTCCCCAGGTATTGTGCTGTTGAGGTGTGTGAGCCAATGCTGGCTTCACAGTGTACCTCTTTAGGGAAAAGAGATCAGAATACCATTCTTTTTGTTATTTATTTATTTCGTGTGTTTGTGATTGTGTGAACATGCATACCACAATATGTGGGGGTCAGGGGAAAAACACGGGAGTTGGATCTTTCCTTCCACTATGTGGGTCTCCCATCCACTGAGCCATCTTCCTGGCCTTCAGATAACCTGAAGATTTAAATGACTAGGTAAGACAGAGACAGAGCGAGCCTGACGTGGGGCCTATGCAGGCTCTTCCCAGTAACCAGCCTCACTCCATCCAACTCTTCTTAGTACAACCGGACAAGCTCCACGAAAGCTGGGGTTTCTGGGGAAACGTTCACCCTTTGATGCCTGAGGTATCAGGGGAAACCCTGGGGAGGATTTCTTACGGCCCGTCCTCACCAGGGCTCTGAAGTAGGACCAACTTAGCCCCCTCTGCCTGGTTCAGTTGCAACTTCCCTCCAACCTTCCCATGTGCAGTCCAGTGCATCCTTGCCACAGTCCCATGTGCAGTCTACACCAATGCAATGCAGGAAAAATCAGCGTCCCCGGAATAACCCTCCACGCCCGACTTCCAGGTTCTCCACCTAAGCTCCTAGTCACTCTGCCACTCTTGGAGGCTACAAGATGAGCACCCTGGGAACCCTCAGGTCACCTGGCGGGGGAGCACAGGACGCCACAGGTGCGGGACCTTGCTCACTGGCTTTTGCACTAGTCAGGGAGTCCCACAGGTCACCAAACGGAACACATCTCTTCCTTCAGCGCCAGCAAGCACAGAGTCGGAACTCTGTGTTGGAGTTCCTGTTTCTGCCCGGAGGAACCAGAGCGCCGCTCAGAGTGCACCCGGACCCAGGCCGCGGACTCCAGTCGCTATGGCAACGTGGCCCGCGCTCTAGGTGTGGCGGGCGAATATTGGCGCTCGGAATCCAGGAGACCCCTGTGCGAGCTGGCCGGGTTCTCGGTCGCGCGCCGGGAGGCGAAGCGGGTTTCCCTGGGTCCTGCGGGCGGCGCACGCGGTAAGTGCCATGGCCTTCGCATCAGGTTCCTGCTACCAGGTCGCTTCGCCCCAGGCGACCGTCGAGAGGCAGCGGCCGGCAGCAGCAGTGTGTGCAGGGTTCCCTCAAATCAGCACAGAACCGCAGCCAGGAACAGAGCCTCGGTCCCTCGTTGACTTCACGAGTCCGTTATTTTGTAGATTGCATCGCATCCTGGGCTGACCGGATATTTAACGTGATTAAGTTACTCATTTTTAGCATTCTGCCCTGTGCCTCCCAGAAGACAGTGATGTCCCGCAAGTGGCTATCATAAAGTTACTGTTTTCTGCTGGGCATGGTGGCCCACGCCTTTAATCCCAGCATTTTGGAGGCAGAGGCAGGCAGATTTTTGAGTTCGAGGTCAACCTGGTCTGCATAGTTCCTGAATAGCCATGGCTAAGTAAGAGACGCTGTCTCAAAAACAGAACAAAACAAACAAAAAAACCTAACTAAATAAATAAGTTATGCTACTATTTTCCCATTGTAAATGATAAATACCTTGTGGAGGAGTGCTTGACTGTGTAAATGTCTTGCTTTTAACCATATTTTCAGTTATTAATTTTAGGATACATCAGCGAAAACGTCCTGATTTCATGGTTTTGTTTTGTTTTTTGCTTGTGTTTTGTTTTGGGGGGGTTCTCTCTCTCTCTCTCTCTCTCTCTCTCTCTCTCTCTCTCTCTCTCTCTCTCTGTCTTTTGAGACAGGGTTTCTCTGTGTAATAGTCCTGGCTATCCTAGAACTCACTTCGTAGACCAGATTACTGGCTTCTAACTCACCGCCTGCCTCTGCCTCCCAAGTGCTGAGATTAAAGGCATGTGCCACCATCACTCAGCTGTTTTTTGGTTTTTCAAGATAGGGCTTTTTTTCTGTGTAGCCCTGACTGTCCTGAACTCACTCTGTGAACCGTGACTGGCCTCAGACTCAGAGATCTGCCTGCCTCTGCCTCCTGATTGTTGGGTTTAAAGGAGTGTACCACCACCATTCAGCCACGTTTTATTTTTGCTGTGTTGGGTAGAGAAAGGGAGCCACAAGTTAGCTGAGTCAAACCATCCAGACCTTTCACACTAACCTGAGATCCAGTTTCCAAGTCTTTATTTAGAATCCGGACCAGAGCAGGTTTCAAGTGCTGCTCTGGCAGCTGCAGCCCTGGGAGAGCCGCAGAAAGCAGGCTGCTTCTGAGGACAGGCCAGGCCTCCATGAGGATGACAGGTGAAGGAGACTCAGCAGCTTCTCAAGGGGTTGGGGATGGCACAGGCCTGGGGCTGTTCATGAAGAGAAGGAGATTGTTGATTTCCCCACAGATCAGACCTCAAAGGTCCCTGTCCTTCCACCTATATCCTAGAATCTGTCACGAAACTCCTCCATGAGGATCAGGCAGGGATTTACTCCTTGGCTTCTGGAATAGTCCAACATAAACCCATTGTCTTAGTCACTGTTCTCTTGCTGTGAAGAGACACCATGACCAAGGCAGCTCTCATAAAAGAAAGCATTTAACTGGGGACTTGTTTACAATTTCAGAGGCTTAAGATCATTACCATCATGGCAGCAAGCATGATGCTGGAGCAGTAGCTGAGAATTACATCCCGATCCACACAGAAAGAGACAGAGAGAGAGAGAGGAGAAAGAGAGACAAGCAAGCCAGGCTGGCAGTGACACACTGCCTCCAACAAGGCCACACTCCTAATCCTTGTAATCCTTCCAAACAGTCCCACTCCCTTCAGATACATGCACCTCTGGAGGCCATTCTTATTCAGACCACCACACGCATGTGTAGCAGCTTTTGGAAATAGTTTTGCTTTTCTCTGTGATCCTTGATTGCAAAGGCTGGTTTGTGCTGTTTTTTTTTTTTTCTCACCCTGATATACTTTACTTTTAAGAGTCCCAATTTCTTTCTAGGACAGGCTCCAAAGCTACACAGAGAAACGGGGAGGAAGAATTCTAATTTCTGCAGAAAGCTGCAGTTTCCCAGTCACATATTTTCTAAATAATTGCATTTATTTATTTATTTTACATTCTGGCCACAGTTTCCCCTCCCTCCTCTCCTCCCAATCCCTCCCCCCAACCTCACCCCTATTCCCATTTCACTATCCACTCCCCCTGCATTTCTGTTTAGGAAATATTTGGTCTCCCATGAGTATCAATAAAACACAGCATATCAAGTTGCAGTAAGACTAAGCACCTCCCTGTGTATTGAGGCTGGGCACGCAACCCAGTATGAAGAGTAGGGTCCCAAAAGCCAGTAAAAGTGTTGGAGACAGCCCCTGTTCCCACTGTTAGGAGTCCCACAGGAGGACCAAGCTATTCAACTGTAGCATATGCAGAGTGCCCAGGTTAGTCCTATGCAGGCTCCCTGGTTCAGTCTCTTGGAGCTTCCGTGAGCCCAGGTGAGCTGATTCTGTGAGTTTTCTTGTGTCCTTGACCCCTCTGGCTCCTACAACCCTTTCTCCCTCTCTTCTGCGGGATTTCTCAAACTCCACCCAATGTTCGACTGTGGGTGGGTCTGCATCTGTTTCCATCAGTTGTGGGGTGAAGCCTCTCTGAGGACGATTGGGCTAGGCACCAATCTAATTAAGTGCCCTGGTGGCTTTTCTGGTGCTGTGTCTCTTGTCCCTCCTTAGGCACCCTGGCATTTCTAGTAATTTCACTTAGGATTCTTTTTTTTCTGAAGCCACAAGGCCTCGTTTGAAACTGACAGAGAGTTGGCACTTACATTGACCTCCTGTGGAGTCAGCACCTGCATGCTAAGACGTGGTGGCTTCTGCCCCGGACAGCCTCAGACCTGAAATAATTATGTGACATTTGCCAAATATTTTTCTCTTTCCATTACTCCTGCATTTCTTAGCTGGTGGGTTACATCATTGTTCTCTGCTTACTATGTTGCTGTCTATGCAGGGAGACCCCAGGGTACCACACTATCTACCTGGTCAGGAGAACAAAGAAGAAATGACAGGGATAAATACCACCTACCTGGCTTGGTGGACAGAAACTTCATGAGGTGACCTGCTGAGTTTTGAAGGCCTAGTAGTAAGAAATTGTCCCAGCAAAGACTAGCATGTACACCTAGGGACAAAAGTGTCAGTCCTCTGGCCTTCTGGAAGCAGCTAGAAGTCCAGAGAGTGCTGCAGCAGGCCATGCCAACCGGCTCCAACCCACAGGCCTCTGTGCAGCCCCAAGAAGTCAAACTTACTTTTGAAAATGTCCAGGGCGACAGCAGATGTTAAATAGAACAGTATCACACAACCAGGTCCCCATGTTGGAAGAGTAGCAACCTGAAGCTTTGTAGCCTGCAACGGAAGAGGCAAGTGATAGCTGCTTGCCTTGGGGCATCCCTGTGCTCTAGTGGAGTAAGCAACCCTACTTAAGCATCTTAAAGTGATTTTTCTGGAGTCCAAAAGGGCATGTTGGTTGATTTTCTCATTATTCTGGCATAAGCAGTTTAAGGAAAGGGGGGTTATTTGGCTCACAGCTTGAGGGTGCAGTCTGTTGTGGCAGGGCGGCATGGTGGCCGAACCGTGAGGCGACTGAGGTGAGGAGTCAGGCCTGTTGGTGAGAGGGCTGCAGGAGCCAGCAGAGTTCTGGATTGGATAATATCAACCAGGCAGACAGATCTGAGCACTGCAGAAAAACGGCTGCGTGGCAGCTCCGAGAGGCCAGGCTGCTGTGATTTGATGGGAAGCTAGGTGTTGTGCCAGCTACGCACCCGGGTGAGTAGGGCTGCCTGCTTGCTCCAAAAACCCCATCTCCGGACACATGGAGCTCGGAGACCTACAGTAATAGCTACCTGGGGATCACTAGAACCAGAGACATTGCACAGCCATTGTTTTGTTTGTGTCTACATACAGCTCATGCTTGGACCCCTAAAGAGTTGGGGCTCCCTATGACCAGCCTTGAGAGGCTTTGCCATGCTTGTCACCTAGGTGCTGATAGTGTTGGACTAGAAGTCCAAACATCAGGGAGGAGCTGCTCCAGACACCACTCACATAACCACTACTGATGCAAGAGCTAGAGGATTTTTGTTCTGTCATGGCAGGCCCTTCGGGTTTGGGATATGAAGGACCTCCGATAGCTGTTGCAGTCCATCTTTTAAAGCAAAAAGCCACAGACACAAGGGGGGGACCTGTAGGTTGTTTTCCAACTTATTGGATTGGCTTATTTAAAAAGTCACTAGCAGTGATTGGTCTATTCCAGGGCAGGAGAATAGCTGTGTGGTCAGGTTAGATAAGGGGAGCATCTGTGGTCCATCCTGACCTTGTTCTAGTGACTGAATCAATACATCAGGAACTGAGTCAACATCTGTGGGTTGTATTTGCCTCAATTCCCAGAATGGAGTTATGTTTGAAGATTATTCACAAGGACACAGGAGGATGAGCAGTCCAGCATGTGTGTGTGTGTGTGGGGGGGGTGACTGTCCCGTTTCTAAATGCTAAGAGGCTTCAGAAAATGTCTTTAGAGCTGAGAGGCCTCAGAAATGCATTTAGAGTCTTTCAATAGGAGCCTCTGTGTAGAGCAGCAGGAAGGGGCTGGAGTTGTAGAGTTGCTGTGTCGTAGCCCCTGGCAGGTACTGCCTGGTTCATTACTTGCCAGGCCCTGCTCTAGGTGTTTGGAACTTACAGGAAGACCTGCCACAAAGCTGTGGCCACTAGCCAATGCAACACCTGTTCTCACCTGTGAAATGCACTCTTGGTTCTTTTGTCCAGATGATTTAACCATACTTTAAATCTTTATTTAATTTTATGTCTGTGTGTGTGCTTGTGGATCCATGAACATAAAGGAGCCTGTAGACTCCAGAGGAAAACATCAAAGCCCCTGGAACTGGAGTTACAAAGCTTGTGAGCTGCTATGTGGGTGCTGGGAAAGGAATCAAGCCCTCTGCAAGAGCAGCAAATACTCTTAACCACTGAACCATCTCTCCAGCCCAACTGTAACTAATTTTTTCTATCAGTAACTTTATGAATGAAATTTTCTGTAAGTAGTATTCTTGCTTATATAAAGAGCAGCTACTGGCTTAGGGACTCTAAGGAGTTGATGTAAACAGATAACACAACACACCGTGACACACACGAACTCGCTCACCTACATTATATCACACACAACACGCACACCTTGCTTTGATATACTCACACACCTTCACAGCACCACACACTCATACACATACAACACTTAGCACGCCACACCCTCCACACATACCCCATGCCCTCCCCTCCACCCCCACACACAGCACAACACAAAAGCAAACCCCTGGTCCTTCTGTCCCTGTTTTTTGAGTTTTATGTCTGTGGTTGCTTGTTGTTGATTTGAGTAGAGGTGAAGCAACTTATATAATGTTCACTTTGGGCTCTCTCTCAATGTGTTGACTGTCATTTACTCCTTCTGTGTAAATATATATAGGACAGTGAGTTGAGGGGACCTGGGGCAGCGTGTCCTAAAGAAGACCTATTTGCAGAGAGTCAGAGTCCGACTGCTACCTTCTTTGGGGTGACAGGCAGACACCATTGACTCCCAAAGGTGATAAGGCCTCTCCTGCCGCTGCTTTCACACACTTGGACGTGGGGCCTAGGTGATGACGCCAGCGTTGTTGGCCTTACGTCCTTCCCTGTGAGTAGCCTCAGACTGATCTGTCCAGAGAAGAACCCTCCTCTGTTGAGTGCTGACGGCAGGGCATTAGACCAGGAACAGTCTGCACTGTGCCTCGATAAGAAACAGGCTTTTCCGGTGTTTGTGGTCACTGCGGTCCCTGCCCTCTGGGACCAGTCCCCAGTCCTCAGTCCTCAGTCCCCAGCAAGAGATATTTAAAGATGTACCAGCTATTTGAAAAAGTAGTTTTATAATGTTGGATCTAATGTTTTTAAAAATTAAGACTTTGGCTGGACAGTGGTGGTGCATGCCTTTAATCCCAGCACTCGGGAGGCAGAGGCAGGTGGATCTCTGTGAGTTTGTGGGCAGCCTGGTCTACAAGAGCTAGTTCCAGGACAGACTCCAAAGCTACAGAGAAACCCTGTCTCAAAAAAAAAAAAAAAATTAAGACTGTATCCAGGCACGGTGGCACGCACCCTAGCTATTCAGGAGGCTAACGCAGAGGATTGAGAGTTCAGCGTGGGCAACTTAGCAAAATTCCATCTCAAAATCCACTGGACTAATATATTTTATTTTGTTTTCAAATTTTTATTTTTATAACATTTATTTCTGATTTCTGTTATTTTCAAAAGTTCGTGATAGCTTGGCAGTAAAAGAATGAATTTCTTGTGAGGTGGCTCCTCTAGAAGGCTGAGTCCTAGCTGCAGGGGTAGGATGGTGCAAAGGATCAGGTGCCAGCCTCAGGCCTGGTTTGGCTACTTAGCCATTTCAATTTCTTTTTTTTTAATTTTACTGATTTTTATTGAGCTCTACATTTTTCTCTGCTCCCCTCCCTGCCTCTCCCCTTTCCTTCAACCCTCCCCCAAGGTCCCCATGATCCCAATTTACTCAGGAGATCTTGTTTTTTTCTACTTCCCATGTAGATTAGATCTATGTAAGTCTCTCTTGGTGTCCTCATTGTTGTCTAAATTCTCTGGGGTTGTGATTTGTGGGCTGGTTTTCTTTGCTCTATGTTTAAAAACCACCTATGAGTGAGTACATGTGATAATTGTCTTTTTTAATCTGGGTTACCTCACTCAAAATGATGTTTTTTAGCTCCACCCATTTTCCTGCAAATTTCAAGCTGTCGTTATTTTTTTCTGCTGTGTAGTACTCCATTGTGTAAATGTACCACATTTTCCTTAACCATTCTTTGGTCGAGGGGCATTTAGGTTGTTTCCAGGTTCTGGCTATGACAAACAAAGCTGCTATGAACATGGTTGAGCACATGTCCTGTGGCACGATTGAGCATCCTTTGGATATATGCCCAAAAGTGGTATTGCTGGGTCTTGAGGAAGGTTGTTTCCTAATTTTCTGAGAAATCTCCACACTGACATCCAAAGGGGCTGTACCATTTTGCATTCCCACCAGCAATGCAGAAGTGTTCCCTTTTCACCACAACCTCTCCAGCCTAAGTTGTCATCAGTGTTTTTGATCTTGGCCATTGTTATAGGTGTAAGATGGAATCTCAGAGTTGTTTTGATTTGCATTTCTCTGGTGACTCAGGATGTTGAACATTTCCTTAAGTGTCTTTTAGCCATTTTAGATTTCTCTGTTGAGAGTTCTCTGTTTAGGTCTGTACTCCATTTTTTTTATTGGATTATTTCTTGAGTTCTTTGTATATTTTGGAGTTCAGACCTCTGTCTGATGTGGGGTTAGTGAAGATCTTTTCCCATTCTGTAGGCTGCCATTTTGTCTTGTTGATTGTGTCCTTTGCTTTACAGAAGCTTTTTATTTTCAGGAGGTCTCGTTTATTAATTATTTCTCTCAGTGTCTGTGCTGCTGGGGTTATATTTAGGAAGTGGTCTCCTGTGCCAATTTTCTCTTCTATGAGGTTCAATGTGGCTGGCTTTATGTTGAGGTCTTTGATCCATTTGTACTTGAGTTTTGTGCATGGTGATAGATATGGATCTATTTTCATTCTTCTACATGTTGATATTCAGTTATGCTAGCACCATTTGTTAAATATGCTTTCTCTTTTTCCATTTTATATGTTTTGCTTCTTTATGAAAAATCAGGTGTTCATAGGTGTGGGGATTAATATCTGGGTCTTCTATTCGGTTCCATTGGTCCTCCTGTCTGTTCTTATGCCAATACCAGTCTGTTTTCAGTACTGTAGCTCTGTAGTAGAGTTTGAAGTCAGGGATTGTGATGCATCCTAAGTTCTTTTATTGTACAGGATTATTTCGGCTATCCTGGGTTTTTTGCTTTCCCATATGAAGTTGAGTACCATTTTTTTGAGGTCTGTGAAGAATTTTGCTGGGATTTTGCTGGGCATTGCATTGAATCTGTAGATTGCTTTTGGTAAGATTGCCGTTTTTACTATGTTAATTCTGCCTACCTAAGAGCATACCAGATCTTTCCATTTTCTGATGTCTTTTTCAATTTCTTTCTTCAAAGATTTAAAATTCTTGTCTTACAAATCTTCCACTTGTTTGGTTAGAGTTACTCCGAGATATTTTATGCTATTTGTGTGTAGCAACAGGCCTCTTGTTTGTCCCAGCTGCCCAGAACTGAAATAATCACACAGAAACTGCATTAATTAAATCACTGCTTGACCCATTAGTTCTAACTTCTTATTGGCTAACTCTTAAATCTTAGTTTAACCCATCTCCATTAATCTGTGTATCACCACGTGGCAGTAGCTTACTAGCAAAGTTTCAGCATGTCTTGGCTCCATGGCGTTTCTCTGACTCAGCTCTTCTTCCTCCCAGCATTCAGCTTAGTCCCCCACTCCCATCCCATGAGTTCTGTTCTTCCCTGCCATAGGCTCAAAGCAGTTCTTTATTCATTAACCAATAAAAACAACACATAGACAGAGGACCTCCCATACCATTTGTGGCTATTATGAGGGTGATATTTCTCTGATTTCTTTCTCAGCCCATTTATCATCTGTGTACAGGAGGGCTACTGATTTTTTTTGAGTTAATCTTGTATCCTGCTACATTACTGAAAGTGTTTATGAGTTGTATAAGTTCCTTGGTAGAATTTTTTGGGTTCACTTACGTAAACTATCATATCATCAGCAAACAGTGAGATTTTGACTTCTTCTTTCCCGATTTGTATTCCCTTGATCTCCCTTGGTGTCTTACTGCTCTAGCTAGGACCTCAAGAACTATATTGAATAGATATGGAGAGAGTGGACAATCTTGTCTTGTTCCTGATTTCTGTGGAATCACTGGGAGTTTCTCTCCATTTAGTTTGATGTTGACTGTTGACTTGTTGTATATTGCCTTAATTATGTTTAGGTTTGTTCCTTGTATCCCTGCTCTCTCCAAGACCTTTTTGTTTATATGGCCACCTCAATTTCTAATATGCAGATGGAGTAAGAGCTACACAAAGCTGCTCGACAGAACACAGCTCCTGGAGGTGTGTAAGTCAAGGTTCCCCTTCTGCCTTCCTCTGCCTTCCCTAGTTCTGCTGTAGAGTGAGCTTCAGGAAGGAGCAGCCCATGACAAGGGACAAGTGAACTCTGGAGGCCTCGGGCTTGGTGCTGCCTCATGGTTCTGAACCTCCCTGACATTAGAACCAAGGGGTGACCATGCCCCCCACCATGGTAGCGAACCTGAGGTGGCACCGGGGAAGGAAGTTTACAGCCCCTGATGGTGTGCTCCTTACTGCCTTCTCTCTGCTGCAGCCACCGCAACCATGCTGCCACCGTGTTCGGAGCGGGAACTGAGTGAGTTGCTGGCTCGCAAGGAGGAGGAGTGGCGAGCTCTGCAGGCCCACCGTGCCCAGATGCAGGAGAAACATCTGGAGGAGACACGAGGGCAGCTGCAGCGCCTGCAGGAGGATTTTGTGTACAACCTTCAAGTGCTGGAGGAGCGGGACCGTGAGCTGGAGCGCTACGACGTTGAATTCACCCAGGCCCGCAGGCGGGAGGAGGCCCAGCAAGCAGAGGTCAGTGAGCTGAAGATAGAGGTGGCCAAGCTGAAGCAGGCACTCTCCAGGGAGGCCAGGCACGTGGCAGAGTTGCAGCATCAGCATGAGCGGACGTTGCAGGAGCATCACTTGGAGCTGGAGCGTGTCCGCAGGTGAGCATCACAGACGTCAGGGTCCTGGAGTCTTCTCCCGACAGGCTGGTAGGCACCTACTTTCACTGTGCCCTCACCCTGGGCCGGTTCAATAAAACATAATGTCCCTGTCATCCATGTAGCGGTTTTCCAGGACTATGTGTGGAACAATTAAGATACTTTGAATATAATTTTTGAGCTACTATTGGGGAGTTTTGCTGTTGTTGTTGTTGTTTTTAAAAAAGAAAACAAACTGTCTTTTTCATTTTACACACCAATCTCAGTTCCCACTCCCTCTCCTCCTCCCAACCCCTCCACCTTCCCCCATCCCCACCCACATCCATTCCTCAGAGAGGGGAAGGCACGTTGCTTTCAGAAGGTCCAAGGCCCTCCCTACCACATCTAGGCTGAACAGGGTGTGTTGTATGGCTGGGGCAGACTGCAGGGCCACTGGCAGTGGCACCAGGATTTATCCCTACTGCTTGTATGGAGGAGGTTTTTAAAACTAGTTTACCCCTACAGATGATTTTTTTTCTGGTGCCCAGTGAGTGATGCATGTTCCACTTGATACTTGGTGATATGATTTTTTTTCCTTAGATAACAGTCCAAGATTTCTTTGTATTTTAAACAAGATCTCACTGTGTATCCCTGGCTGTCCTGGAACTCACTCTGTAGACCAAAGTGACAACAAACTCACAAAGATCCACCTGCCTCTGCCTTCTAAATGCTGGGACTGAAGAAGATTTGCATTACTGCCCCAGCATGTCAGATGCTATCTGCTGACATTCTTAGCTTTAGAGTTGGTGGAGGCTACTGGTCTGCTGAATTTCAGCAGTACATTCCACAAGTTCCACCTGGTAGTCAGAGATGGAGGCCGGCAGCACCTGCCATCCGGAGCCGGGAGGTGCTCCCGAGGATGTCACAGACCTCTGCTCACAGTTTAAAGCTACTTTGTGTCTTTTTGTGACTCTTTTATCTTTTCCCTTCTTCTGTACACCTGAGGCCTTTCAGTCATATGCAGATACTTTGTCAGGCCCCTGCCCTTTTCTCCTGTCCTGAAACCCCAGGGCTTAATAAGTATCAGTTGTCACCACTCCACGAATCCTCGGGGGCTCCATTTGCTTGTTATTTTTAGTTTATTTTCTCTGTGTTCAGTTGTGTGGTGTCTAATGTCTGTATCCAGTTCACCATCCCTCCTTTGTCAAATCGTTGTGACATCATGCCCAGAATTTGAGCCTTTTGTTTAGGTTATTGGGCTTCTTAAATCCTTTTTGTTGTTGTTTTGAAATAGGGCCTCACTATGTAGACCAGGCTGGCCTTGAAATCACAGAGCTTGGCCTGCCTCTGCCTCTGCCTCTGCTTCCCCAGTGCTGGGATCCTGATTAAAGGCTCGAGGGGCGGTGACCTGGGAGTCATTGTACTTTTAGTTATCGTGTTTCCATTCGGTTCTTTGTTCTATCTTTCTCTACTGAGGTTTTCTGTTTCTATTCATTTGTCTAAATGTTGGCACTGTTTGATGCTGAACTCTCACCCTCCCCTCAAGGTCTCCCTGGCTGTCCTGGAATTCACTAAGTAGACCAGGTTGGCCTTGAACTCACAGAGCTCTGCCTGCTGCTTCCTCCTGAGGGCTTGGATTAAAGGTGTGTACCACCATGCCTGGCCCTCTTCCTGGTTCTTGTTAGTCCATCAATTTGGGGTTCCGTGTTTTCTGCTGCACAATTGAATACTCCATTTAGGGGCAGCAAGCAGATTCAGGTCAGGAGAAGTTCTACTTCTTGGAGGCCTGTTACAAGCCCCTGCTGCAGCTCTATGTGTAAGTACCAACTCCATGTGTAGTGCACCTGGCAGGGTATACATTCAGCGTATAAGCATGCATACATATGAACATTCAGTATGGCTCTCTGAATACCATGTCTAATCGCCACAGTGACAGGAAGAATGAAATCGACCACCAGCAGGAGCAGTATGAGAATCTGAAGTGGAAGCTGGAGAGAAAGCTGAGGGAACTCGACGGTGAACTTGCTCTTCAAAGACAGGTAGCGCATTGCTGGGGGTTGGTTCTGCCTTGGCAGCTAGTACGACATCTGGGTGCTGAGGTGTTCACCGAGCACATTGTCCTAGTAGACATGGGAGCGTAGGGGTCTGCTGGATGCTGTGAGCTCTGTCCGAATCTTCACTGGAAGTCACTGCCGTGTACTCTTCTCTCACGCAGTCGGAAGTCTCCAGGGAAATGGGGACACATAAACATGTAGAAGCACATTTATTACGTGACTTGACCCTGGAGGTCTTGGAGGCCACCCCACAATTTACCATGTAGGCTAGAGAACCTGGAACTTGGTTATGTCTGAACCCAAAGGCCTAAGAAACTGGGGCCCCACCCTGTAAGGGCAGGAGATGAAGTCAGGACTCAAGCAGAAGGAAAGAGCATTCCTGTTCTTTGGATTTTCATCGGATTGGCTGACACCACCCGCACTGGGGAGACTGAGTCTTCTTTACTCCATCCGGTGATTCAGATGCCCCGCTTGTTTGGAAAATTGCTCATAGATATACCCAGGAATAATGTTTACCAACTAGCTGGAAAGCCTTTAGGCCGGTGAAATTGACCCATAACAACAGCTGTGCCCCTCTTCCCAAGTACAGAAGGAAACAAATATTGATCTGTTTTCAAGACAAGGCCTTGCAGTCGGGTGGGAGGCAGAGGCAGGCGGATCTCTGTGAGTCTGAGGCCAGCCTGGTCTATAGAGTGAGTTCCAGGTTGTTACACAGAGAAACCCTGTCTCAAGAGAAACAAAAGCCAAACAAGAAGACAAGGCCTCATTCTGCAGCCCACCCTTACCTCAAATTTGCAATTGCGATTCTGCCTCAGCCTTCCCAGTGCCTGCACCACCTCGCCCAGGTGACATTTTAATTAGTGCTCATTCTTCTGATGTCCGTAACTTTAACACTTTAATCTGGATTTGGTGATACATAGCCAATGTTGTGTTACCTGACCAAAGAGTAGAAGACAAAATAAGGTGCCTTCTCTTTCTGTCTTTCTTTTTCTTTCTTTCTTTTTTTTCGTTTGTTTTTGGGTTTTGGTTTTTTGAGTCAGGGTTTCTCTGTAACTTTGGAGTCCCGGAACTTGCTCTTGTAGACCAAGCTGGCCTCAACCTTACAGAGATTCATCAGCCTCCGCCTCCTGAGTGCTGGGATTAAAAGCGTGCACCACCAGCACCTGGCTTCTTTTTTCTTTTTTAAAAATGTTATGTGTATAAGTGTTTTGGACCACTTGTGTGCCCAAAGAGGCCAGAAGAGGGCATCAGGCCTTCAACCGCCATCGCAAATGCTTGTGAGCCACCATGTGGGTGCAGGAATCAAACTCGGGTCCCCTGGAAGAGCAGCCAGTGCTCGTAACCACTGAGCCTTCTCTGAAGCTCAAGGTGCCTTATTTCAACACTTTTGTTTATGTAGAAAACAAAGGACAAATTGAAGACACTCTAATTTCTTTTTTAGTTAAATTGTTAGAAAACTTAAACATAACTTACTTTTTAAAAATGACAGCAGTTTTGTACAGACCCCTAAAAGTCGGTGCCACTGCAGAGATTCCCGTCTCATCCTCCAGGTGAGAAGGGTCCTGGAGAAGCAGTGGCAGGTGGAGTCCAGGAGGAGGAAGAGGAGGTAAAAGTGGTGGCTTTGGAGGGAGAAGAGGAAGTAGCGACTTCAGAAACAACAGTTGGCGGGCGGACTTCCGGACTTCCACTTTAACTGTGATGTGCTCTCCCCTGGCTAGAAATCTGTGTCCTGAGCGACCTTGAAGATGTCAGTCTGACAGCGGAACTGGATGTCAGTCTCCTGCGAAAACAAGTGGAGGCTGGCAGTGGTGGCGCATGCCTTTAACCCCAGCACTCAGGAGGCAAAGGCAGGTGCATCTCTGAGTTAGAGGCCAGCCTGGTCTACAGAATGAGTTCCAGGACAGCCAGGGCTACACAATGAGACTTTGTCTCAGAAAATCAAAACCAAAACCCAAAACAAGTGGAGAACAACAGTAGATTCTGCTCTAAAAGAGCATAAACAAACATTTTGTTTGTTTGTTGTTTTTGTTTAGTTTTTTGAGACAGTTTCTCAGTTCAGTTCTAGCTGTCTGAGAACTTGCTTTGTTGTAAAAGGAGCGGCGGGCTGCGTCCAGCCACCCAGCTAGCTTTACCCGAAATAATTACACGGAAACTGTATTCTTTTAAACACTGCTTGGCCCATTAGTTTCAGCCTCTTATTGGCTAACTCTCACATCTTGAGTAACCCATTTCTAATAATCTGTGTAGCACCACGAGGTGGTGGCTTACCGGGAGGATTCTAACCTGAGGCTGTCTCAGAGAGGAGAGTCATGGCGACTGCCTGCCTCTGCTTTCTTTCTCCCACAATTCTGTTCTGTCTACTCCACCCACCTAAGGGCTGGCCTATCAAAAAGGCCAATGCAGTCTCTTTATTAACCAATGAAAGTAACAATAGATAGATAACCCTCCTCCATCACTTTGTAGACCAGGCTGGCCTCAAATTTATAGAGCTCTGCCTGCTTCTGCCTCCTGAGTGCTAGGATTAAAGGTTCGCACCAACACCTCCTGGCTAAACTTTTGGCATTTTGTACAGAGCCTAACAATCTGTAAATGCTCAGTAAAGGGACATGTATTTTCACTAAAAATATATTTTAATTTAAAAATAAAATGTCATTTCTTATATTTTTTAAAAAGGAAATTAATACTTAATATTCTACCATGTCTGGCTCCGCTGACTGTAATCACAGAACATGACTAGAGATATCCCCGGATCTTCCTAATCTCCATTGTGGCGTGATCATCCAGTCCTCCTTGGTAGTCTGGGGTACTCACCTCAGTCAACACCATAGCTCCTTCCTTCACCTGTTGACCTACAGGCCTGAGGGCCCCAAAGTGATAGACAGTGTCTGTGCTGTCCAGTGGACCATTGTTCCTGATAGAAGAATTTCCCTCTCTGAAATCAAGGCTTCTAAGACAACAGAGCATCCTGGAAGCTGGAGGTGATAGTAATACAATTCTTAATTCCACCTCTCAGTTCCTGGTCCCATGACTTATCTCCATGGTTTTCAAATTCCAATTCAGAGTAGACTCAACTTTCTAGACAACCTTATTTCAGCCCAGAAGCCTAATGCCACCCAACTGGTACTATAATTTAATCTCAAAAGACCATTTCACTGCTTAGTCAAGCCAACTACTCATGATGACGAGACCCTGGTAAGACCCATTAATCTAACAGTCATAAGCCCACTGACCCCTTCTTTGGCTGTGAGTGAGTCCTTGCTCAAAAGCCATGCTCTGTGGAATACCATTCCTGTGGATGAGGCATTCTGTGGTCCATACAATGCAGTACTGATGGACGCATTCCATGCTGGGAAAGCAAAGCCACTCAGAACAAGTGTCTGTTCTCATAAGGATGCGATGATGCAGCGATTCCGTGTCACCAGCCTGCCCCCAGGCTTCAGGCTGGTCATCCAGGGAATGCTGCCATATTGTAGCTCAGCAGTAGCCACAGCCAGATCAGCCTTGCTAAGTGAGAAGTCTGTGTTACTGAAGCCATGCATAACCTCCATCCCTGCCACCATGGCCACATTGCTCATGAATCCATTGGGCAATTATAGGGGTAACTGAAGAAAGAGGACGAGAAGAAAGAGATTGAGGTTGTTTACTGTCTACAGAGCAGATCACTGAACTCCTCTGCTGAGGTCACGAGAGATCTGTCCACACACTTCCTCAGTTGTCTTTCTCACCAGTATTCAAGTCCTTCCAAGGAGCCAACCATCCGGACAAGCCACTGGCTACAGCACATGAATCAGTATATAATTGCTTATTTATCCATTTTTGTTTCTTTCAAACAAAATGTACCATTGGCTTCATTGCCCAAAGTTCTGCCTGCTAAGAAGGGCGATTCCTTCAGGAATGTTGTAGGGAGGACCTGTGTGTTACAGCTATGCTCCCTCAGGTGGTGCCTGTCTTATCTTCCTCTGTGAACTCGTTCACGTGGCCCGAGGCCGTGGAGGCTGTGGAGAGAAGGCCCAGCAGCAGGAGTGAGAGCAGGAGCCTTTGTAACACTGTGATCTTGGGTCTGCTTACGTCCAGTCCTGCAGATAACAGTTTTCCTTGTTTTCCTTACGGTGTATTGCAGCAGATACCAAATAGCTTAGTGGATCAGATGATGAACCAGCTGTAGTCACATGGTAAATTGAGGGCTTATGGCCAAGTGTTCAGTTTATACCAAGACCCAGTGGCTGATCAAAAATTTTCTTACAAAAAGGATCTTTAATCCCAGCAGAGGTAGGTGAATCTCTGCGAGTCTAGGCGAGCCTGTACCATCCAGAGCCTCAGCGAGCTGAGATGCAGGGAGAGCATAGCCTGAGGATTTACACAGAGTCCACGTTCAGTGGTGTTGCTGCTACTGTGTCCATGATGGTGGACAGGGTCTCCTTCACGTCTGTTGGAAGCTGGGCCCTTCATGTAATAGCATCATCCACAGTGTGCAGAACACAGACTCATGTGCTCCCCACAGCAGATGCAATTGATTCCCAGTCATACACTTTTTGCTTTTAGAATTGTGTTTAAGACACTGGAGAAGCCGAAGCCAGAAGTCAGCCCTGTTGCCTTCACGTCTGCCCTTTCCCAGAGTGTGAGACTCTGAGAGCTGTTTTGATCTGATGCTTCTGGCCTTCGCTACTTCTCTATTGTGAAAAGACACTGTGACCAAGACAGCTTACAAAAGAAAGCATTTCACTGGGGCCCTGCTTACAGTTTCAGAGGGTGAAACTCTCTGGGGGGAAGCATGGTAGCATCAGGCAGGCGTGGTGCTGGACAGCGGCTGCGAGCTGACATGTAATCAGTACTGCACTAGGCAGAGAAAGGAAGCTCAAAACCCACCCCCAGTGACACCTCCAACAAGGCCACACCTCCTAATCCTTCCCAAGCAGTTCCATCAACTAGGTAGGAATTATATACTCAAATAGGGGGCTCTTTTCATTCAAACCACTACATTTCTT